TTTCCAGAGAGCTGGGTCTTAGAGAACACTTTTGCCTGATGTGAGGCAGCAACTAAATTTGATTGACAGAGCCAGTATTAAAAAAAGAAGAAAAATTACAGAAGACAGCAGATCACAAGTATCCGTGAACACACAGGGATGGGGAAGAGTTTGTCCTCCCCACACTAGGAAGAGATAGAAAAAGGCAGAAAAATGAGGAAGGAAGGGGGATGCTTTCAGAGAGACGAATTTTTGCAAAGCCAAATCCTCCCATTGAATTTTTAAGGTGCAAGGAGCAGTCAGTCTACACAAGGAGTGTAGAGTTAAACGTACCTGTAACTCTCCTGCTCTTGACACTTATCCCTGATTCTCCTACAGATTCACTAGAACATGGCAAACCATTTTTATACAATCAGACACTTCAAAGAAAGACTTTACTTCAGCCTAAAGTCAAATGAAACTTAGTAGCTTGAATTTCCCTTTATGTATTCAGATTTTTTTTCGTATCTCCAATATCAGCATTTGCAAAGAATATATATTCTGAAGCAAAGCAAAAACTGAATGTATTGCCTACATATATTTATGAAAGGAATACTAAATTGCTTTGAAATGTGAAAATCCGAAGTATTATTGCAAGCATTTCTATGGATAGGGCAGGGTTCTTTAGTAAAAAAGAACAAGATATTAAGTGTCTAGTTTAAGGCAATAGTTCTCTACAATTGCTGCAGAGAAATACATAAGAAAGGAAGGACACATGCACATTTAGAGGTATAATGTTGAAAATATTCCATAAAGAATTGGTTTTTCAAAAATGTGCTTTATCTGCCATAAAATTACAGGGGAAATCTTTTAAGTCTTTCACAAATCATTGGGGAAAAAAAATGTTTTCCTTTGAATAAAGGCCAATCTCAACAGAACTTCAACCTCCAAAAAAAAAAAAAAAAAAAAAAAAAAAAAAAAATCAAAACTCTCTGAAGTCTTGCCACGTCAAACCCTGCCAAAGGGCACAGCAGTCCTGCGCTAGGGAGCAGTGGCCTCCCAGGAGCACCAGACACTGTCCCTGCAGCAGGGCCTTCAAAAGGGCCTCCTCCAGGAGAGGGGCTCTCCCTGTCCACTCACCCCAATGCAGGTCAGTTTTAATGCAATACCAAGAAACTGAGTGGCACCAGATTCAGACCAATTTTTTTGCATTTTTACTCGTCAGGTCTGAGTTTAATAGAATATTGAAACCTGAAGTGTTAAAAAAATAAAACCTTGTGAAGCCTAAATATTCTAGACATCACTTGACAGTGCACATTCCCATATCCAGAGCTCCATTTCAAACCATTTTAAGTGTGATATGGATAAACAAATTGATCTGATTTTGAGCTCGGTTAAGAGCAGAATATTGGCACTACGCGAGGCCAGAGCAGAGAGCAGACTGCGCAGTGTCTCCGTTACCTGGCACATACCCCAGCTCTCCTTGCTTTTGGCAGCTCCTCTCGGGACAGCTGCCTGCGTACTGAACGCCACCCGCGAATGCCAGGGGTGTATGAAGCCCAAGGAGATCATATTCACCTGCTGGCATTTAAGCCAGAAAATCACTCATGACGTCCATAATCCCAGTCTTTGGAAGCTTACTCCCAGGCTACCTGGTTTCCATCTCTTCCTCCAGGGAAGGGGGATCTGCCAAGGGGCTCCGCAGAGCCAGTCCCCAGCGGCCGGCACAGGGGCTCCCGTCCCGCACTGCCAGCTCTGCCGCGTGTGCAGGGGAAGCCACAGGTCACAGCACAACATCCCACATCACTCAGCTTGCGCTGAGGCCTCGCTGCATTAAACAAAACCAAACCCCATCGCACCGTACCAGAAGCTTTTCAAGCCCACTTTACAGCTGGGAAAGTCTGTAAAGCAACAAGTTAATCTCTGGGTTTAACTGCAATGAACATACATTATGAGCTTCTAATTCTGATTGTCTTGCACAACAATTTCAAGAGCAGGTGCAGCCTAACCACTACAACAAAATTCAACTATCAAACCTTAAAAAAGACCTTAAAGACTCAAGTCACTGCAACATAAAACAGACTCGCTTATGGCTATATACGAAGAAAACCTTTGTGATGTCGAAACAGATGTCACAGCACATCTCTCAGAGCATGCTATTATCTACTGTCCTACTGCACGCACAGCTTCACTGGTTACATTTAAGTATCACTCTACTAACACATGGTATTAACTTCCTTCCTTCAACTATATCCAAGTGAAGTAAAAACTGCACGGTCTCTAATAAGACTTCCATTTGCATAAAAATCTGCAATGGCTAAAAAAAATAAGAAATAAAAAATAAATAAATCCTAAGCTAGGCAGACTAGCCAGAGCCACAAACACTGGGCTTCACTATATTTCAAAAGCCTCAATTAAAGAAAACCTGACACAGCCAGTATATAATTAGGAGGAGCCTAAGCCAGACATGCATAAAAGAAAGAGTGCAGCCAGAAACTTCATTGTTTTAAGTACAGTGAAAGTGATACCAGATGCACAGTACTTAAATGCAATTAAACTGCACTTCTTACAGAAGTGTGAGTTAAATGACAGGTAAGACCAAACACTCTGCTTTCTCATACAGGAAAACAGGCATCACAAGGTTATTTTGAAATCTGTTTTCGAGCAGCAATGCAAACAGCCCCTCAGCAGCGCAAGGCCCCTCTCCAGGGAGCACCCCCTGGACTGGAGGGCAGCGACTCGCGTGAGCAGGCTGAGCAGCGCCCAGGGCCCTACGCTAAAAGTCTCCAGGGTCTCCAGGGGAGGCCTCGTTCCCCCATATGGGGAGCAGCAGGTTTAGGCAATAGGAAAGCAAATGCACCACCCTGTAATCTATCTCCTCCACTCTGATCCTTTCCTTATGATCCTCTAATTTGTGGCAGCAAAAGCCTACTCAGAGCTTAATTAATGCACAGAATTCACCTCATTTAATGACAGGAGAAATAAGAACAGAGTAACTAGGCATATATTTGAATTGCAGCACGACAAGGGATTTTGGCTAATTTAAACTGGTACATGAAGCACTGGCAGCAGCGTAACCCTGGCCTTGGGGGAATTCACCCACCGCAGCCTCTTGCCCAACTTCTGCAAAGTTTTTGGCAGTCTGGCCCGAGGTCTGGCTGCCCCAAAGGCTGTGGGACTCAGACTCAGAGGAATGCTGAGGTTGGAGGGGACCTCTAGAGATCACCTAGTCCAACCCCCCTGCTCCAGCAGGGACACCCAGAGCATGTGGTGGCATCCAGCCAGGTTTGGAAAATCTCCAGAGCAGGAGACTCCACAATCTCTCTGGGCAGCCTGTTCCAGGGCTCTGTCACCCTCACAGGAAAGAAGTTCTTCCTCACATGGAGGTGGAACTTCCTGTCTTTTAATTTATACCCATTACCCCTGTCACTGGCCACCCCCGAGAAGAGTTTGGCCCCACCTTCTTTACATTCTCCCCTCAGGTATTTGTACATATTGATCAAATTCCTTCTCCATCTTCTCTTTGCACTGAGAAATAACTAGGATCACTTGGTTCTAACACTGAAGAGTAACAATACAAATATTTTCCCATATTTACAAACAAATATGTCACAGATGAGGAAAAAAGATAGATAAATACAGCTGAAAACTCTGTGGGAGCTACGTGCAGGCCAAGCGCAGCCCTACGTACTCGAGCTGCTGATACATCTGGCCGGTCAGGAGCTTAACTTCAAGCCTATGTGATAGAAACAGGCTCAAAATGGCTCTCTTAAGTATGTGTGTACCTATATTTACACACACACACACTCACATATATAAATATAGGTACACACACATTTCATGGGTGTTCATGTGCACAAATCCTGGGCTCTGTCATTATAACCTCTTATTTTACTAAATTACTGGCTATTCTAAGATTAAACAGGAAGATTTCTTGGTGCATAAAATGAAAGAAATCCACATTCTACATGTCAGTCATTCCACTTAATTCCCATTAAACACACAGTGGGAGCCAAAGGTCCAATCAGTTTGCTCAGAAAAGCTCAAAATTTAAACAAGCCGACATTGACTATTTACCACCTTGGGGGGGAAAAAAGGCAAGATTAGAAGCCCTTCTAAACACCTCAACAGCCTCAAGTTCAATGTCATACAATTAATTTCCTATGGATAATGAATGCATATAGTTAGCACAACACATCTTACAACCCTTGATCATATTGGGGACCAAGTACAGACACATAAAGCGCAAAACAGATAACTAAATGCAGGCAACAAACGGTATTTTGGATGGCTGAGGAACACCTATAAGCCAGACTCCTGCTGCCACAGAAGAAAAACGCAGCTCTCAGGTCCTGGCCTATCTTCCAGCTCTGTAAGGCTTCGATCACCTGCTGCACACAGAGCAGCACTCAAGGCCTCTGTTCAGAAGGCATGAATCACACACCAAAAGTCCCACTGACCTCCATATACCATCTCATGAGTAACTATTTCTCAGCAAAAGCAGCTGACAGTGCAACCCCAAACATATAATTGGGGGGAACCCCAAATTATTTGCCTTTAATAATCATACAGAAGATCTTTGACCCTTGCACACCAAAAACAGCAGCAGCCATAGGAGCGTTACAGGTACCACCACAGATTAACACAAAATACAAGTGCCACTCTCAAGCATTAAGTAACAGGTTTTGTCATCATTGTGACTTTGCCATAAGGGAAGTATGATCAGTAACACATTCCTTGAAAGCAATTCACAGCATTACCATCTCATTCTATTCCATATGTTGTCTGCCATAAAAAGCACACAATAGTAACCTTTTATTTGCCTAAAGTATCTGTACTGAATCACATATATCAATTAAACAATAGCACATAGGTAATTTTTTTGAATAAACCAGCAAAGTACATTTTAAGTACAAAAGAAAATCTACGTTACATAACCCTCTTTCCCCAATTGGCGAACCTGCCACAGAAAGCTAAAGAACAACACTGAGAAGCTTAATCCTCAATAAAACTGTATGCAAGTAGTGAGGCAAATCACTTACCGTGTCTTGAGATTTATCTTTGACATCGTAGACTGTCAGTTTGATTTTCGTCTCCTCATAGACGGGGTATTCAGGTGGGAACGTCACACCGGTCAGGAAGAGTGGGTCTCTTGTTCCCTGTGCCCCACGAGCAAACATTCAGTAAGGCAGCAGGCGGGCAACGCGCAGCATGCACAACGCCGCACGCGCTGACCGAGGCACCGACACAAACCAGGGGCTTTGCAAACTAGCCTAGTTTGCTACAGCAAGCACACATGAAGAGTTAACACAGAAACAAAACTGGAAGCTCTAAAACCTAAACTCATTAAACAGAGTCTAGCAAAACTCAGCCAAGAGGTAACAGTATCTGGAAGAGTGCACTGTAAAAAGCAATGCCCTTCATTCCCATCATATTTCCTTTCTAGGGGTATGTTAAGTTTCACTTTAAGTGAACGCTTGGTTTATGCAAAAAAAGATGTGAAGCCTCAGTTCATTAAGTCACAATAAAAACCCATTTAGAATTACTATGGTGTGTGGTAAAAGCACAAATGGACATATACATACACACTCCAATGTGTGCAGAGAGGTATTTTTATATGCACACTCACACATGTGCACACACTTACGTATCAATACATCTGAGCATCTTTCTTACAATTAACTTAGTATTTCAACCAGTAAATTCTACAGTAAATTAAGCCAAACCAACACCACTATTTTGACAGTTTTCATCAGCTGGTATGTGTTCAGCTCCAGTTATAATCCAAGCTGAGTAGACTGGTACCAGCAGTATAGTTCATGGTAGACAGGTCAAGCTATATAAACTCCCTTAATTACATTTAGGGAGTGACTGACTTTAGGGATTATAATTCCATTCTTAAAGCAATAATGCAGTGGTGCAGGACAATAACATCCTTGGCTTTGTAAAGTAATAACCATCTTTGTAATAGTACATTTTTGCATATGCATTTAGATATAGAGAAGCAACAACATTTTAAGAAGATTTTTATGTGTACATTATAGATACAGAAACATTTAAATCAACTATTTAAAATATTCTTAAAATATCCTCATGTTTAATTGTAACTAAAAAGTTGGCAAAGATTAGTGGGCCAGTATCCTTAGCTTTTCTGCTAAACAAAGGCTTTCGCATGATGATTACAGCTTCCACTTGATGAAAATACTACCAATAGAACTAGAGGAAATGGCTGCAAGCACCAAAAGTTCCACAGGAACTTATGGAAAAGTTTCTTGACAGTGATGGAGCACTGTAACAGGTTGCCGAGAGAGGTTGTGGACTTTCTTTCTCTGGAGATCTTCAAAACCCACTTGGACCGAATCCTGTGCCACGTGCTCTGGGTGACCCTGCATGTGCAGGGGGTGGTTGGACTTAGTCTCTAAAGGTCCCTTCCACCTTTAAGGATTCTATAATTGTGTGAAAATTACTTTTATCTCTGTTCCCTCCCTCCACAAAAAGCTGGACTGAGGAAGCCAAGAACTCAAGCACATCAAATTCAGGAATTGACTCATATATAGAACATGGCATTAGAAATATCTGTTTACTTCTGTTTGTACTTCTGCACTACCTTGTTCCAGACAGTCTGAAATGAAACACCCTCATCAGATAAAAGCTATTTGAATTAAGCAGTTTCAGGATGGTTAATGGCTGAAACCACAACAGTTTAATTAGCAGTCAGCTGAAACTAAGATCACACAAAGAGCTCATGAAATACTCTTCTTGTGCTGAACAGCTAAAACAAACCTTAGATAAAGTAAATTAGGATGAGTATTTGCAGTAGGACTCCTCTGTTGTTAATTAATCCCTCCAATAAGACGACCAAAGTCACACCTACGTTGTCTGCTCAGATTAAATAGTTTTCTTCGTAAATAAATTTTGTCCCATTTCTGACATAAATGCTTATTGGAGAAAGCAAGGACTAGTAAAGCAGCCTCAAAAAACTTTTTCCTATAAAACACAATTCACAAATAAATTTATATGTCACAATTATTTCATAAACACATGCTTTTTCTAATTAAAAAAGCAGGCTAATGTTTTTCTAGTCGCAAAAATGCCAGCCTTCTAAAGGAAAAAAAAAAAAGAACAAAAAAACAGAAAGAATAACTTAAAAAAGCAACTATGCTCTTCTACAATTTAAAATATTTTTCCAAAATCTCTGCACTCTTCATTTTACAAAGCCCTGTTCTTCCATGAAAACTACTGTTCTGTGTTTCATTCTAAGCCCATGTCTAAGGGACTATTCTCTATGTTTCTTGGTTGGAAAAAACAGATCTTTCATGAAGGGGCATGTTCAAATCTAGCTGTTTATGCTGGTTAAAAGCCAAGAACCACAGAACTCTCTCAGGTATGCTTTGCTAACAGCCAGTGTGCCTGCCTTACTAAAGGTTAGGCACTAACTTGCTTTATTTCTTATTCATTTTCTAGAGAAAAAATAAGCAATTTACTAACCAGCGTGTTAATTGAAAGAGCCACTCACCTCCACGATTTCAGTGCTCGAATATCTCGTCAGAACGTGCTCGGCTGGATGCACCACTGAGACTTGTATAAATGTACTCAGCTTCCGATCACGGGTAGCAGCCACTAGATCCTTGCATGCTGGAGAGAGTACAAAAGAAAAAATAAAATGCTAAAAAGACAACTTTGGAAAAAACTGCCCCAGGCACGGGACAAAGCAAGCGCCGCTGCAGCTCCAGATGAAGCCTCTGGAGACAAGCCGATTTAACAGAGGAAGTCCCTTGGAAGTAACTTACAGAAATAGGAAGTCACATGCTGCACAACTGCACCGAGATTTCGTCTCCACTCAACATACTTGCAGCTTCTGCAAAGCTCCTGCCAGCAGCTCATCAGCTCCCATGCGTGGATGCGCGCGCACTACCCATGCTGCCGAGTGGGTAACTTTACATAAGCTCTCATTTAATTCGCCACATCTCTCTTGGCAGCCTAACTTGGGCACCCCTTCACAGCACCAGGCTGTTTTTGAAGGCCATCTAAGCCAGCCAAAAGCCATTATTTATTATCTTGTTGAGTACATTCTTGTATGTATTCATATAAACCACTCTGCAGAGAGGAGCTGGACTCATGAGACGTGTTGGCTTAAGGACATGCTGGGTGGCTTATGCTTTTAAGGGACATGGTGCAGCAAATACTGCAAAGGGGGTCTACCCAGGGCTTTCTGCAGTGCATGCAATCACACCGGGATTCTTGAGAGGAAAGGAGAGAAGCCTCTGGCATTGGGGAGGCTCATAGCCCAGAAAGAGCTGAGCAGGGAGCACTCACTCTGAGGAACCCCTGCCAACAGTGGGCTCACTTGGGTGCAGCTGACCTTTCCCATTTTCAAGGTGGGCCAGGTTATCCCACCACGAGCAAACACAGCCCTGAGGAGAGGCCAAGGCCAGGAAGCCTCTGGGGTGCAGGTGAAAGGGCAACGCAGCTTCCTTTGCACTACACTGCTTTGGGCTCCCACGTGCTGCTTGGGGACTGCCCAAAAGGACAACTGCGTGAAGCTTGGCTGCTGCTCCCCCAGAACAGCCAAGAGAACAAGGAAACTCTTAAGGAACATTTTTCTGCTTAAGCCTAGACTGTCAACGAAGACAGCCTGAAACTGATGCAACCAAAATCCAGTGCTAAAAGCAGGAAAACAACCATTACCTGTGCAGGTGGAATCCCTGTGAACAGCTGACATGACAGTACCCAACCTGAACACCAAGTTACCAACAATTCTTGGTTTCTAAAGCTCACCACATCATTGAAATTAAATATCAGGACTACTTGATACAACCTTGATGGAAAAGCCATTGCTTTTCCACCTTATGTCCTGCAATTCTCTTTTTAGCATATCTCACTGGCACACTAGAAGATGCTCTTCTACAGGGATGCCAAGAGCTCCTGGTCCTCATCAGTACAAGCTGCAACTCTGGCAGAAAATACTCCAGGTTTTCAACCCTGCCCCCAAGTCAGCCTAACCACAGACAACTGTATGAACCACTAGAGAGGAGAAAAGACCAGAAAATGGGGGAAAGAAAAATCACTCAAACAGTAGTTTGATTTGATTTCATTGCAAGAGTTCTCTAATAGATTGACCGGATATGACCAATCAAGAACCCAGATTTTTATCCCATTAATAGAACATTTAACAGGAAAAAGACACCACTAAGGGGTCACCACCTTAGTGATGCCTGAGCTCAGAAAAACATTCATGTGTGCAGTGGTAGGGAAATCCACCCATTTAGATCATACTCCTGCAAAAAGGAAGCCCAGCAACATGATCTCAAATTTCACCTGGTAGAGTTGACATGAAAATAATTCACACACATCTCACCAGTAGGGAGTAGCAGCACAAAATATTTCTTGGAGCTTCTGGGGCAAAACAACAAATAAATTAAGATGAAACATTCATCTAGTTAGATTCAAGCTACTTGTCACTTGATCGTGACTTTCAGCTACCGCTTTCCACAACTACCCAGGTTTCAGCAAGAGGCTATTCAATAACATTGTCACTGACAGGGGACAAGGTCTGGAGCGACACAGTATTTGTCAGTTTGGGCTACAGTGCAACACTTGCCTTAAATACACACTGATCAAAGTGTTAAACAAAGCCTAAGGTTTATTATTATTAGTAGTATTTACAATAGCAAATAATAGGAGAAGTTTGATACATCCTGCTCCCTGAATGGAAAGTTCCACAGTCCAACACCACATACTGCTGTTTGAACTATTGTACCAAAAATATCTCTGAAAGTCTTATGCCTTGACAAAAGGAACAGCCAGCTTTCTTCACAACGAAATATTGCAGAGCTATGAAATTGAGACACAAGCTATATCTGTATACAGATATATAACAGATGTATAAATACATCTGTTTAGCATTGAGATAGGTTATTCAAAAAAATGCAAAGCCAACACAAAGTGCATGTTTCCTGTCTGCTTTCTTAATTGAAAGTGTAGCATAGTAAAAGCAGGTAAAATAAGATCCATATGCTTTCCCTCAAAATTATTCCCAAGCAGATCACTTACATAGGTGACATGACTTGTTCAATATTGCGCTGTGCTTGAAATAATTCTGGCAAAACTCATCAACAAAATCCAGGGGACTGCAGTGACAGCTTGTGTTTACACGCTAGAAGCATATGAATCTACTCATTGTGACTGTTGACTCAGGGTGAAAAGCTTGAGTCATCCATTCCCCTAGCAATGCCATCTATACTAAGCCTATCGCATACCAAGAATGTTTAGGGAAGAATTATATTAAGAGCAGTTCATGCTTTTTTTTAAATAGGAAAAAAAGAAAAGAGTCCAAAAGCCTGCTATACATTAGGCAAAGAAAAAGAAAGAAACCAAAGCAATCACTACGTATAGGAGAGAATAGCTGAAAGAAAGCTCTGGTCTAAAGAATATTTACAAATATGTGTTTACAAATTTAGCATAATACTGTGGTCTATGCTTAAAACTGCTTTAGCATTTAAATTGCCTTCAAACAGAAAGCACTGTTATCCTTCAACACTATTTTCAAAAAGAATAAAAGCACAAAGGGAACATTTTAATAGTCGTTTTATTTCCGTGACTGCTGCTGTTCCACTCTTAACATTGCACTATTACTCTTACACAAACCACAGTAAAGCACCTACTACTAGTCATGCACCTACAAACACAGTAGAGATTCATGTCATGCTTTTGGTGACCAAGTAATGGGATCAGGGAGGATGTATCCAAAACAAGAGCAGTAAGGAAGAATAGAGCACACACACACAGAAAGCCAACAACTACTTAACAAGCAGGAAGAAGGCTGGAAATTCATCTTCTACCTTCCCTGGAACCACAACAACTCTGACTAGGCATTCAACACTGCTCCAAGCACAAAGCCCAGGGGAACCAGAAGAAATTTATCTGGATAAAAAGCAGAAGAAACCCAGCACCTCCCAAGACCAAGACAGACCCAGTAGCTAGAACAGACTACATGGTCAGGAGGACACGGAGACATCCTCTGCTCGCAGGGTAGTTTGGGAAGGAGGCCAAGGACTGGACTGAAAACTGGGAAATGGCATTGACATTGCAATGCTCATTTGTTTTTGTTAGATGAGAGATGACAGCACATTTACTAAGGTCTCAGGAGTCAATAAATTCCCAAGATTAACCTACACGGCAATCTGTGGGGTAGCTTTTTTTCTCCTCGCCTCTAACCAGTAACAGAAACCACATAATTTTCCTGGGATTTCATTCCTTTGCCTTTTCCAAACCAAAACAGATTCCAAGTGACCAGCATGGGCAGGAATTAACCCTCAAGCTTGTGTTCTCTCCAAAATGCACTATTCTGTCTGCTTTCAAAAGAGGAGACCAGTACAATGTGGAGATATGGGGCACAGTTGAAGCTAGCAAAGCCTTTTTCACATGCACACACACACACACAATGTTTATTTTTAGTTATTTTATTAGCATTACAGCAGCACTGTCTTCCCAAAGCAACTTAGCTTGTAAGTCTTAACATATGGTCTGTCCTGAACACCTCCTGACAAACTGAGATGCTACTCTTCCTCAACAGGCAGAAGGACACATTAAATGGAACACCACTACATTCGGACCTGTGCTATATGCACAGCACTCAGTACCACACATTTTTCTTTTTTTACCTCCTCCACAGGAGGGAGGAAAGGAAAGGAAGCATTGCCACTGCTTTTGCCTCCCATGAACCAAGAGGCCTAACCGAGCTTGCTGGAAAGACCACCTTCACTCAGGTTTCAAAGGAATATCTTGAACCACAAAAAGGGTTTGGAATAATCCAGCTCCAGGGCACACAGGAAAACTTGGACTGTATACTCCACTGAGGAGTGTGAAGGCAACTGCAAGAGGGAAGTTCTTTCCACAGGGCAGAACATGCCTGAAAGCACCTAAGGCCAATGCTTGGGAAATACTATTGCTTAATGGCAGCTTAGCACAAAACAGTGTTAATTAGCACCCCCTCCATGTAGTACCCCATCCTAAGCATGTCCTATTAACTGGTCAGCCCACTTGTGTGCTAGCACAAGTACTTCCAACTGCCACGCTGAGGAGTAAGGAGTAAGGTAACCCCTACCTACAGCCACAGAACAAGTAGGTGTGAGAGAGATGCTCATTACCAAGAAACAGCTACCCCCAGATGCTCAGACACAGGTAAACCCCACAACGAAAGCAATCTCTAATGACAACACTGCATTTGGGCCCCGCATCCAACCAAGTGAAATGATTTAAAAAAAAAAAAGGGTCAAAAGTGCAGATCCTGGCTGTGGGTATGAGGTACTTACATGAAGATAAAACATTTATTCTCTGGAACATACAGGTCATTGCTGAAGTAACTTAGTTATATCTCAATGAAACATAGCACTTGCTATCTTTCTGGGATACCTACCATTAACAGTGGGAGGAAAGTTTTTTTTTTTTTTTTTTTTTTTTTATCAATAATCCAATGAGAATCTACAGCCAGAGAAGCTGTATTGGCCAAAGCAAAATGCAAGAGCTACGCATGTCAACTCCAGAAACACAGGTTTGGAGAAGGAGGAATAAAGAGACACACAAATCAGGTATTCTTATCAAGTAATAAGCAAATAGGTTGTCCAGGAAAATGG